CCTATTGGCTATTTCAATTTGCAATAGCCAATAGCAAACTGCTGCAGGCAATCAGCAGAGGGGACCTGAAGTTCTCCATCATCTACATGGGCTTTTAGTACCACATACGGCAGTTAAGGTGGTGACAGCGCAGCCTGTACACAGCAATGACAGATGAGAAAACCTGGACGCAGACAAGACTGCTAATCTGTCAAAAACTGCAGGTAAACGCTGGATGTGCATATACTGTACATGCAAAATAGCCACTGACAGCTGTGGTTCTAATCAGATCTAGTCAGTATGTCACTACCATGCACAGGCTCAGCACCCGCATATATCCAGAACCACCTGTTATTCCAGCCACAAGAATCTGCAGATTCTTGCTGCATGTGGGCACTAAAAGGCCTAAGGACTTTTGGTAACAACTTTGAACTGCTTTTAGCAGTAAGCGTTACCACATTGCAATCTGTTCTAGGTAAATACCTAATGAGTTGGTATCCCATTTATAAAATGACTGCAGCACAGAGCTATAGCATATTGTTCACACCTTAACATTTTGACGATGACATGTTGAAATTATCTTTGTTAATGGTGCGGTTTCCTGCCACAACACAGCTGCATGAGTGCTCGGTAAACAAGGTTACAAATGTTGTCTTGCTTTGTGTGGTGATGCACAAAGTAGATTATTTTTTTTTAAAACAGCTCTGCTAAGCACTATTAACATCTAAACTGGCAATATATTAACTCTATCTCAATGTAATTTAGTAAAAAAAAAAAAAATCTTCTTTAGAAGTCACACACTTATAAAAGAATGATAAAAAGCAGGTTTGTGTTGCCCTCCTCCTCTTTACCATATCACAGCTGTCAGTAGGTGGGAGGTGGACACATACATGAATCCCAGTAATCTTAAAGGAAAAATATCAGAAACAAATGTTTTTTGTCTAAAATTAATGTTGTCCTTTAAATGCCAACTATTGCTGAAACTTTTTGTTTTAATTTTGGGACAGTGTGGGGCTAGGGATAGAACGCCTGCAATGTTTTTTACTGCGGTCTGTGATGGGACAGGAAATGATCAGTAATTTCTCCAGATTTCAAAACAATTTGCTCAGTGGAGAAGGGCAAGAATTTCTGTCATTTTATTATTGCTGTCATTATATTGCTGTCGCAATGATGACCATTTACCTAATTTCTTATCTTGCTAACACAGGGACCGGAAGTGAGGTGAAATATTCCTAGTAGGTTCACAGACAGTAATAAAAAAAAAAAGCTTACATTAATTTTTATCAAGCCTTTACAGAACTAAAAAAAAAGTTTTGATGAGGGGGTTGGGTTTTAAAACGGAAGCTTTAAAAGCACCTAAATACACAGTTGGAAAACATATGTGTGAATGGTCTCATTGCCAAAACATTAACAGGGTTATTCACAAATGGGTGAAGAGTTTGGAGAAGGCAGGAGAAGTGAACAATCTAGGACAACATAGCTGAACTGGAAAGTGAGTTGAATTGGAGAATGTTTCCAAATCAGCTATGTTATCCTAGATTGTTCACTTCTGTCTTCTCCAAACTCTTCACCTTTTTGTGAATAGACCTATTAAAATTCTGTCCAGCTATTCTTATAATCCAGGCATTGTTGCCAGAAAGCATTACCAAGTTCTTGGACTTAATTCTACTTAAGCAGTGCAATTTGAATCAGGAAACATTTTCTGCCTGATGACTGGGCAGTGAAGAGGCAGCAGCTTTCTATTGTGCCCCCCCCCCTCCTGTAAGCATATTTACAGTATTAGACTGATAGCACTTTGCACTATGGCAGACCCTGACTGGTTGCTACTGTTGTCAGTTGATTCTGCTCCCTGAATTAAAAAAAAAATACTTGTAACTTTAATTATTGCAACTCCCGAATAATTATGTAATAAACATGTAGGCCTTTTTTATAATATCATTATTTTTGCTATTGCCACCTCATGTGATAAAACATTCCACCGCTTTAGCTTACTGTAAAGAACCCCTTTCTAAGGTGATTTGTGCCACTTAAGTTCCCCCTGACCTTTCTAAAGCTCCTGGGATAAAAAGTTAATTTGCCATAAATTTATACTGTCAAATACACATTCAGATATATTTATACCTTTGCTACTTGCATTTAAAACTCAATGTAAATGTTTTTGATGAATACATAATCACATTATTTTGTGTTTTTTTAAAATTGCCTTTAATTTAGCCTAAAAGCAAAACTTATTTATCTTTTGAAACAAAAGATTTTCTAGTAAGGTTTTGGCTTTCTTAGGAGAATATCTATGTGTGCATAATTATTGGGTAACTATTATTCTGCAGAATTATTATGCAACTAAATGGAAAACTAAAACTGTCCCATCTCACTTTTTTATTTTCATCTGTTAAAGTGAAAATAATAAAAAAACAACTCAAATTCTACGAATAAACATTTATTAAATTTTCAAAAACAAAATCAGTGACCAATATAGCCCCCTTCTTTTCTATAACAGTCATAAGCCTTGATCTGTTGACAAACAACTTTTTGTGCAACAGCAACCACGGCCTCCCAGACACTGTTCAGAGAGGTGTACTGGTTCCCTTCAGAGAGGTGTACTGGTTTCCTTCACCGTAAGTCTCCCATGTAAGAAGAGCTCAAAAGTTCTCAATAGGGTTTAGGTCAGGTGGGGAAAGGGGCCATGCTATTATTCGTTCATCTTTAAGGCCTTTACTGGCTAGCCATGCAGTGGAGTACTTTGATGCATGCGATGGAGCATTGTCCTACATAAATATCATGGTCTTCTTGAAAGATGCAGACTTTTTCCTGTACCACTGCTTGAAGAAAGTGTCTTCTAAAAACTGGCAGTAGGTTTGGGAGTTGATTTTGAGTCCATCTTCAACCCGAAAAGGTCCAACTAGATCATCTTTATTAAACGCCACCTCCACCTTGCTGGCGTCTGAATCGAAGTGGAGCTCTCTGCACGTTACTGATCCAGCCACGGGCCCATCCATCTGGTCCGTCAAGAGTCACTCTCATCTCATTAGTCCTTCAAACCTTTGAAAAATCCGTCTTCAGATATTTCTTGGCCCAGTCTTGACGTTTCAACTTATGTGTCTTGTTCAGTAGTGGTCGGGTTTCAGCCTTCCTTACCTTGGCCATGTCTCTGAGCACTGAACACCTTGTACTTCTGGGCACTCCAGATAGGTTGCAGTTCTGGAATATGACAGCATTGGAGGATAATGGGTTCCTGGTAGCTTCATGTTTGATTCTTCTCAAATTTTGGCAGTCAAGTTGCGTCTTTCTTTCTCAACACGTTTCTTGCAACCCAGTTGACCATTTGCAACAAAAAGTTTGATGTTTCTGTGATCACGCCCCAATATCATAGCAATTTCAAGAGTGCTGCATCATTTTTACAATTTTTAAAAGTTAAATCTCTTTTTTGGCACATTTTGCCTGAGGAAAAGAAGCTGCCTAATTATTATGTACACCTTTATATTGGGTGTTGATCTCCTTATGCCACACCCTTATGCCACGCCCTCCCTCATTACACAAATACACATCACCTGATATGCTTAAATCCAATAAACCTTCAAGTTTATACAACTTGGAGTTGGACAATATGCATAAAAATGGTGATTTGGTCACGATACTCACTTGCCTAATAATTGTGCACACAATGTATATTAGAAGTTTCATTTGTGTCTTTTTAATGAGGTATGAGTAAAAGGTTTTAAGAATTTTAGACAAATGTTTGTGAAGAGACTGTGGTACCAGGAAAGTCCCATTATTTTTGGTTGTTGTTATGCTGAAACTGTTATATAGAATATTGGTACTTCCCAGAAAGGGTTAGACCTTTCCATATATTATCAATGGGTTAAATTGGGAGATTTCGCTTTAATGAAACTTTTGAAAAAAATCATGACATTTTGCCAAAACATAATTTCAAGGAAAAGTATTTCCGTTATTGGGGACAGCACAACCTAAGGGGTTTTGGTGGTTATTAAGGGTGCAGTGAGCTTTAAATGCCTCCTGAGTATTACTGAAGCTTCCTTACTATCCTGGAACTGTTATTGTGCCGCAAAAGTCTCAATGCTAGGAACATGATAGATATTGAGGAACAGAGGAACACTAACGCTAACGCTAACCATAACCCTTTGTTTATCAACAAAGAAACATGATCACCATGCTAGTGCTGACATGGTGATCATGTGACTTTTTTAACTATGTTTGAGTTAGCGTTGGCTTTGTTTGTCAACAAAGCCATTGATCATCTTGCCAGAGCTGATCCCCTGGTTTGTTATGAACAAAAATTAACTTTTTTTAAAGCAGATTTCGTCTAGGCAATGGTGTATTGTGAAATTTGAACTAATGTTTAATTTTGATGCAAATGCAGAGAAGGTGAAACTAATTTCACTGCAGACTCAGTTAAGACAAAACCACCCAGGTTGTCCATAGTAATCAGCTTCCAAAAGTGCTGCATGAAGCATGTTTAGGAGATTATTTAAAGGAGAACTATTGGAAGAGCAAAATGTTCTCTCCCTATTGTTTGAGCCAGCATGTGACTACAGCTATCATACGCCTGCTCTATAGATCAAGAGCTGAGCGATCACAAACTGCTGATCGCTCAGCTTACAGCTTCTCCCTGCAGAGTGGAGCGTGTCAGTCACCGCTCCCCATAGGGTTTCCTCCCCTCTCTCTGTTCCTTCTGCTCTAATTGAAGGGACAGACGGGGCGGGCTGTTTCTGACTCTGGCTTTAGAGAGGCAGGGCCAGCTGTCAATCAGACAGCAGGGTGTATCCTGACGATATTGCCAGGATCTTTCCTGGCTGCAGTGGAGCTCTGAGCTGATAGCAAATAGCGGGCATTAGCCTGCTATGTGCTGACTTTGGGTCACAGGAGGACATTAGTAAATGTTCTCCTGTGACTCAATAGAGAACAAAAACCCCCAAAAGTTTTGCTATTGTTGAATAGCAAATAATCATTACGTTAAACCTATGACTTTCCTAACTGTATTATACTTTTCTAATTTTTTGCAGGACCCTAATCGCAAAGGGACTTCAAGATTTGAATAAAGTAAAACCAGCAGGTGAAACATACATGCATGAAGGCTTTATGCTAGTAAGTATTAATGGAGCGCTTTGAGAATTCAAAAATATGATGATGACAATGACCGTTGACTTGTCTATATTAACTAATAAAGTTAAAAAAAATAATCTGAGTTACATGCTTGATCAGTAGTAACATAATGTTTACTCCAGATGTTCTCAAATGAAAAACTAAGGAATACAATAAAGGAAAAAAAAACCAAATAGGAAAAAAAATTAAAGTTTCCAAAATAAAATTAAAGTTACACATAAAAAAAGAATTAAAAAAAACAAAATGTTTTTTAAAAGCCCCCACCCATACATACACCCATGCAAACATGCGTCAGGTGCGCATACCTGCGAAAACGATGATTGCGCCCATTACACCGCACATGTTACATATAGCCGCGAACCTCGCAGTGTGAGCGATAATTTTAGAGCCATCAATCACTGATAACACTAAACTGATGAGCGGTAAAAGCTTTTAAAGTGTCGCCTTTGGTCAATTTTGGGTATTGTTGTTTTTTGTGATTTCGCGGGTGCGCGCAATTTTTAAGCTTGACATGTTTGGTGTCTATTTACCCGACGTGACCCCGTATTTTATATTTTACCAAAAAATTGGGTAATAATAATTGTTTCCTAAAATAATGTAAAAAACACTTTTTTTCCCCAAAATTTTCAGTACATTTTCTGAAACATAAAAAAAAATAAAACCCCCAGTGGTGAATAAATACCACCAAAAGAAAGCTCTATCTGTCCCCAAAAAATGGTATAAAATTAATTTCAGTACAGCGTTGCATGACGGAATAAATGTCAGTCAAAGGACCGCAGCGCTGAATACTGAAAAATAGCCTGGCCAGGAAGGGGGTCTAAACACCTGGTGTTCAAGTGGTTAAGGCTTTAATAACTGAGCCCTGGTATCTGTGTTGCAAAAAACACATGCACACAACCACTATATAACTTTATACTGTATATACTGTATAGCTGTACAGCAGTGCTAAAGTTAACTGGGAACATGCTGATAAAAGAGCAGAGTGACAGAGAGTTGAGCTCATCAGTCTCCTGCTTCTCCTTCACTGTCCAGTCATAGGCTAGGTGCAGAGGAGCTCTAGTTGTACTCATTAACTGCCAGCTGTGTTGATATTAGGAATGGATGGGTAGAGATACAAATCATTTGCCAGATAAAATAGTTTTTCTGTATGCATTCCATCTGTGTATTTAGCTGCATTTACCTGCAGACCATATCCTGGTGGGACCATGTCTTCGCTGGGAAGCTTTCCACTTACTTTATTTCCTGTTATAATGAATTGTGTGGAAATATTAAAAAAGAAAAAATGTGTTGGGCTTTCTTCTTAGTAATGTATGCATGTTTGGCATATCTCTATAGAAACCATAAAAACCTCTGTTTATTGTTTCGATGGTCTGACTTAGTGGCCAATCTCTAGGCTGGAACACTGTCACATGGCAGAAAGGGGTGAAATCACTGCCCCTTTGCAAGCTCCAACACCATCCGACACAGAGCTAATTTCAGACATTTTGTAGCAGCATTGATGGAGGAAAGAGTGCCAAGGGAATGGTAGAATTTATGCTTTGAACAATGACTAACATGGTAGAGCACTCTGTTGCTATCGTATTATTAAATAAGGCCATTTAAGTCAGAGCAACAACATTAAAATCAAAGAAAAATTGTCCATTGTATGGATATGCCATTCAGTTGCTGAAACGTGTTTTTTGGAAAATATAGTCATAGCAGGTCTCACAAGAAGTTTGGCCTACATCTTGTAGTATGTCAAAAAGCTCCATATTCTGGACATTTTGTGAATGATCTACTGTACAAATCAGTGCAGAGTGATCTGTGAATCAGCAAATGTACTACTAAGACATGTGGTTTTCATTCCCTATGTAGGGTTCTAAATATAGATAAGCAGCATCTGGTGGCTGCGTCATGCCTTATGAATATAGAACAGATCACAGACTATATTTCTACATTGAATAATAGCCTGTTATTAATTAGGACTTGTTTTTTTTTTCTTCTTTTGTAAAGTGAAGACACAAGGATTTGCCATATGTGTATTGCAATGTCCAGACCAGACCCAGTACTGTAGAAAGACTATATAGACTGGGCCTTTCCATGGCAAAAATGTAGGGCAAGTGGCCTGTGTTTCTATTATCTTATTGTAACTTTTCTTACTTAAATCTTGCCACAGGCAGTTATAAAAAGAAGCACTTGCAATTCAGTACATAGCAGCAGAGGGGGTTTAAAGCTAGCTGCTGTGCAACCATGTCAGCAGCACCTATTTGGAGATTGTTTTTGGCCACTCTTTGGCTACTGCCTGGTATGAATACATGCATTTAGGACCCATAAACCTAAATGCATGTATTCATGTGCCTAATCTTGCCCGCTTTGCCTGTGTTGAATAGCTATAAGTGTGGATTGGTATTTGCCTGGAAATACAGAGTGAGTCTGGGGGAACACATAAATAATAATTACATTATTGATTTATCCCTCTAGAAGTAGTTGGATAAGCATAGAGTAAAGAAGACAATAATGTTGTATCCATGATAATTCAGCTGATTGCAGATAGAGTGTATATAAGTACCAAATATATGGAGTTGTTTGAAATTATGGGGTCTATTCACAAAGCTGCCGAGGGCGGCCGAGTGAATGACCGATCAGAAGTGAAGTGAGCCGAACACTGTTCGTCTATTCACTACAGGCTGGTACGGCTGATTTCAGCCGATATACGGCTGAAATCAGCCGTACCAGCCTGTAGTGAATAGACGAACAGTGTTCGGCTCACTTCACTTCTGATCGGTCATTCACTCGGCCGCCCTCGGCAGCTTTGTGAATAGACCCCATAATTTCAAACAACTCCATATATTTGGTACTTATATACACTCTATCTGCAATCAGCTGAATTATCATGGATACAACATTATTGTCTTCTTTACTCTATGCTTATCGAGCAGAACAGCCGAGCCAAATGCCGCTCGGCGGCATTCGGCTATTCTCTCACTGCTGTTCGGGCTATTCTGAAAGATCCCGAACAGCAGTGAGAGAATAGCCGAATGCCGCCGAGCGGCATTTGGCTCGGCTGTTCTGCTCGATAAGCATAGAGTAAAGAAGACAATAATGTTGTATCCATGATAATTCAGCTGATTGCAGATAGAGTGTATATAAGTACCAAATATATGGAGTTGTTTGAAATTATGGGGTCTATTCACAAAGCTGCCGAGGGCGGCCGAGTGAATGACCGATCAGAAGTGAAGTGAGCCGAACACTGTTCGTCTATTCACTACAGGCTGGTACGGCTGATTTCAGCCGATATACGGCTGAAATCAGCCGTACATCGGCTTGCTTCGTGTGGCTTCGGATCAGCCGAACATGCTCAGCATGTTCGGCTGATCCGAAGCCACACGAAGCAAGCCGATGTACGGCTGATTTCAGCCGATATACGGCTGAAATCAGCCGTACATCGGCTTGCTTCGTGTGGCTTCGGATCAGCCGAACATGCTCAGCATGTTCGGCTGATCCGAAGCCACACGAAGCAAGCCGATGTACGGCTGATTTCAGCCGATATACGGCTGAAATCAGCCGTACCAGCCTGTAGTGAATAGACGAACAGTGTTCGGCTCACTTCACTTCTGATCGGTCATTCACTCGGCTGCCCTCGGCAGCTTTGTGAATAGACCCCTATGTGTCTTTAGTGCAATGAGACAAATAATCATTGTGAATGTGAATTGTATAATCAATTCTTTCAGCTTCTTGCATGATTCTCATTACACTGTCTGAGAGACTGTACTTATATGAAAGAGGGATGAGCAACAAACAGCTAATTTGTGAACTGCCAATGCAATTCAGCAAGCAGTGCAATTGTGCTCAAATCAGGAAAACTGCTTATTCCACCTTAATCTATGTTCCGTCTAATCTACTGAAGCTAAATGTTACACAATTCCTTCTATATGGTTTGCATGGTTCTATTTCCTGAAGCTATATAGATTCCTCCCTCTATCTAATCTCTATCTCATCTACCTCTACCTCTATCTCTATCTCATCTGCAATTTTTTATACTGGACACACCCCACGCCACACCGCCAATAAGGGGAACCATTTTTAGTGCAGAATAACACTTTGGTAGTTAAAGGAGAACTATGAGGTGAGTGAAGATCACTCATCCTCATAGTTTGAACCGACTTGTGACAATGGAACTGTCACACGTCGGCTCAATAGATTAGGAAGTGAGCAAACACATAACGTCGCTCGCTCACTTCTCGATCATCTCCCTTCAGAGATCAGTGACTGTTAGTCACTGCTCCCTGCAGGGGTTCCCCTCTCCCCGCTTCGATCCTCCAGCGCTGACTGGAGGAACAGACGTGGTAGGGGGCGGGTACAGCTGGCTCTGCCTCTAGATAGGCAGAGCCAGCTGTCACTCACGCAGCTGGGTGGATCTCAACAGTAATGTCGGGATCCATCCCGGCTGTGGCGGTCTCAGTATACCGCGAGCTGTAGCTCGCAATATACTGAGCTTTGGGTCACAGGAGAATGCTAGTATATGTCCTCCCGTGACCCTTAAGAGAACTATGGGGAAAAACACTTACCCCATAGTTCTCTTTTAAGTAGCATCTTTTCATAGATATCTGTACCAAAAAGTGGGACAGCTGAGGAGGAAATAAGGACAGTGGGATTTGGTTCTAAATGAGGGATAGTTGGGAGGTATGGCTAACATGATCCAACATCTGGATCGGCTAAGCCAAACCTCCGGCAGGCTACTCTCTGCTGTTCGGTCTATTCTTATAGATGCCGAACAGCAGTGAGTAAATAGCCGAATGCCGCTGAGCGGCATTGGGCTCGGCTGTTCTGCTCAGTCCCTCAGAGGGGCCGAGCAGAACAGAAAAATTGTAAAAAAAGTAGAAAAAAATAAATAGAAAACGATTGTGCTGAGCTAGCAGTGACAGCATGCTCCACCCAACAGTTTTCTATTGGCCGGCGGTTCTGCTGCCGTGAAAAAAAAAGAAAAAAAACCTCTCCCGGGCGCTCTGGGAGTCTCCCGCTCCCGGCCGCCCAGAATAGCCCATACAGCAGCCTTTGGTTCTACTGAACCGAAGGGGTCCTGGGGCCAAAGCTAGCTGAAGGATCGGCCAAAGCTACGGCTAGATCCTTCGGCTGCTTCGTGAATAGACCCCTATAACTTCCATACAAATTAGTAAACTAAACATGAGATTGTAGTCCATCACAAGAGCAAGCTTGGAGTGGTGGCTACTTTACACCACACACAGGGACCATGGGGAACAAAAGTAGCCACCCTCCAGAAGGAAGGGCAGTGTTAGCATGAATTCCAACATGATTTGAGAATCTAAAGCTGAGTGATACACAAATAAGATACATTTTTGTTAATAGGTAAAGTACTTGAATGTATTTTTAGGATTTAACTCCTGAGTTTAGTGTCAGTTTAAGAAAGCTCTTTAATTTTTAGTGTGCTGTCAATACACGCAGGTGTGCCAACCACACCTGGTCCCTAAGGTGTATTGACTTGCATTGTAGTGAGTACATCTGGATGCCATTTAAAATTAATATTTTCATTCATACTATGCATGTGAATATGTGTACACAGACTAAAGCCTACATCCAGTGAATTTTCTAACAAGTGTGCTCTGCTGTGGATGGTACGCTCCGGCATCTGAACATACACAGCTAGTTGGTGGCATGCGTAAAATAAAAATGTGATTTTCTCTAGAAATGGTGGGTATTAAAGAGGCACTGTCATTAGGATAAATATAGCTAAACAACAGTTTCTCTTTTAAATGCATGCACAATACTTACCTCTCAGTCTCTTTCAGTCTTTTTCACAGTTACAGGCACCACTACAATCTTCAGGATCCAACACTACAGCTACTTGAAATGAGATAGCAGATAACAAAAAACACCTACCAGGGTTAGGCAACCCCAGAACTACAAGCCCCATGATGCATTGCACAACTGTAACAGCCACAGGCATGACGCCTAGAGTCAAATGCATGATGGGAGTTGTAGTTTCACCACAGCTGGAGTGTCAAAGGCATCCTGTGAATTGAATATTGGATTAAATATTATTATAAAACAGGCAACATTTTATAAAGAAGGGGAAGTTTAACAAAATTAAAAGACATTTTTTTCACATTGTATTTACATTGCTTTATGTTTGACTTTTCAGGCGAATGAACAGATTAGGAATGCGGGAGGAAAAAGTACAGCCACCATAATAATTGCCCTGACGGATGGTAAGCTCGCTGACCAGATCCCTGTTCTGACTGTGAAGCAGGTGAGTACTGGCTTTCTTTATGGGTTTTCATGTATGCTCCAGGGAAACATTTTTATATTGAAATGTTTTTCTGTCTTAAATACAGGCTGACAAAGCCCGAGCAATGGGAGCAAGAGTCTACTGCGTAGGAGTTCTTGATTTCGTCTATGATCAGGTAGTTATTACAGAATATATTCATTGTCGCAAATTTTGCACAAAAACACAAAGCTTCTGTATGCCATTACGTGTAGAAATAAATATTTTAGGATTAATCTGTTGGTGAACATGAGTGGCTAGCAACAAGAGTTCAAGGTTACTTTAGACTTCACACTATGTACTGTCTGGCTTGCCTGTAATGGTAATCAAGCAACAAATGCAGGCAATGTAAAGTATATTTACTAATGCACCTATCCTACTTTGGCATAGTACACAAGTCATTTCTTTGTGTAGTTTAGTGTGCAGGATTATGTTTTACCTAAGGTTACAGAAACTCACCCGAACCTGACAAAAGAACCCTAATTAATTGAGCATCTTAACATCTACAAGGGTATGCAAACTGCAGTTGTCCATAGCCATGTCCATCTGGTCAATTATCTCTTTGAAGAGTATCCAAACCTAAAAACAAAAATATAATATAGAGCAGCTTGCCAGCCCATAGATACGGTGGCTTCATTACTTTTCTTTTTTAGGCTTTTTTTGCCTGTGTTGTCACCTGGTGATCATGCAAATAAAGGACTTCCTGTTCATTCACGCATATCTACACTCATGTCTCCATTGTATGTATGGAGGGAACCATGGTTGTCACACAAGCTGGACAAATATATCTGCTTTTGTTCATGCTGGGACTAGTGGTTTACACAAGAAAGATAAAGGATGTTTGTGCTCTAATTTTCAAACTGGAAGTGTCAAGGACACTGCATTTCTGGCAAGATCACCAGGTAATTTCTGTACAAACTCTAAATATTCTTAGCCTGGAAAATGTAAACTAATGCAGCCACCTTACCTAAGGACTAGTAAACTTCAATACTGTAAATGTTTGGTTTTATGCGTAGATGTGCCTTTAGTGTAAATGCACTTTAAACCCTCCATTTGTCCCATACACAGGTCGTGCTCATTGCAAGGAGTCCATAAAAGTAGGACTGGAGTATAGTGAGGAAAAAACTTGTGCTGCAGCCTATAAAGCGCTTTTCTTGTTACTAGACAATATAGGCATTGTCAGCTTGGATTAGTTCAGTAGTACTGAGAAGTACCTGGGAGGGCAGGGTGACCATTAGAAGTAAAAATACATTTTAAAGTGTTTGTAAAGGGGCTCCTCTCACCCCCTCCCAAGGCAAGGTACCATTTTCAAAGTTGAAGGCATGTGCCCTAGTATGGCCACGCAGGTTGCATGCCTGGATAAGGGTCTGTTATGAATTTTTAGGGAAACTTCATGCTGTTTTTCTTTTCTTGTGGGGCCAGTACCATTAAAAACAAACAAACAAAAAAACAGTGTGGGGTTCCTTTTAACCTTATTCAGGCATGCAACCTGGATGACCAGAAAAGGGGGCAATGATTGTGCACCCCCAAACCATACCAGAACACATACCTTCAATATTTTGTGGTTACCTTGCAAGAGGGATGACAACACCTTCTCCCCCTTGCAAGGTGCATTGCCCCCATTATTGAGGAAACAAGGCCCCCCATCCCCACATCCTGTCCCCCAAAATCATATGGGGGTTGTGAGGTAGTGGGACTTCAAAATATGGAAGCCTCCTTTAGAATAAGGGAACCCCAGATCTCCAGCCCCCCTTCTAGGCACATTCATTCTCCAAAAAAGGGTAAAAAGAAAATTAAAAACCCACACCATGAAAAAGTCCATTATTAGGAAACAAAATTCCCCGTCCAGCAGTAGGTCAACAAATGACCATATTTGGTCAATGATGTCACCCAGGATGCCCCTGGCTAGTCTGTTTACCAGCACCAGTCAGCTGGGGAACTGTCATTTTGCGGTGTTAGTGCTATTGCTGCAAAAGTCTTCTGTCTCATGCTTGTTTACTAATATCCGACCATTCGCCGAACTGCGAAGAGGCTGGGTTTGGGTTCAACTCATGTTCAATCCAAACCTGAAGCTCATCCCTAACCAGGACTAATAGTGAGGGTAAATCTCCTCTGCAAGGGCACAGGCAGCAATTCAAATCTGACAAGGGTTCTAGCATGAATTGGGGTTCATTGAATTCTATTCAAAACCAAAGAAAAAAGTTTTGGCTGACATACACTTTAGCTTAGTTGACTGCAGTAAAATCTGGTTGGTTGTTGTAATTGACCTCATATTTGTACTGTGCTACTGAATAGCCTCAAAGTTTTATTTGCCTGCTATGATGATCACCAATGAAAATCACATAGCCGTTTAGTTCAGCCACAGGTGTGAATCACAGGGCAGATCAAAAAAAGAGCCAGCAGTATCTGTTCTGTATAGACTTTGTACCTTGTTGCAAATTATAGTCCTTCAGATGTGGCTGAACTCTAATGTATTATTTTGAACAGCAGCAAAATGCATCACAACTAGAGTGGACCTCCAAGCATTGCAATGCATGGTAATGTGTTGCAGTTTATTGTCAAAAATGATGCATGTCCGATTTTTGGCACATTAGGATAAATTGACAGCCACTTTCTTTTAGTGGCCTGTCTGAAGGCAACACATGTAAATTGACCTATAGACTTTTTACTTTCAGAACTTAAAAAAAAAACATGCACCAAACTCTACCATATCTACTGTGCCCATATCTATTATTTAGATATTAATATTTATTCAGGTAAAATATAAGTGTGCATCTACCAGCATTCCTTTAAACTGCCAAAACATTTTTATCAATATGAACTTTCTAAACACTTTCCATTCATTTCCTCAAGCTGGTAAAAATTGCTGACTCCGTCGAACAGGTGTTTGCTGTTGGTGGTGGATTTAAAGCTTTAGGAGGGATCATTAATTCGGTAAGTACTACAAAGTTAATGGACTGTTCGTAAATTTCCAAGTGGAGTTAGGTTAGTCTTTGAGCAGAAGTACAAGTTTAATAACTGTAACCCGATAAGATTTATTTTTCCTACAATCTTACATTATGTACTAGAAAAAAAGTTTATTTCCATACTGACCTAATAACATATCATTTTAGACAATGGAGAGAGTATTGTTATATGCATTGCATGAATTTGTTTTTTATTTATGAAAGTTCAATGGTTGATTAAAGGGATATAGGACTTGTTTAAATTCATTGGAATTGTTGGTCAAGTGCTACTGCTGAGCAGACAATTATTACACATTAATACATATAATGGGGTGCTCTGTTATAGTGTATAGTGTAAAAAGTGTTTGTTCAGTTAGTTTCTATAGAATACAACTGAGTGGCCATACGCTAGCCGCCCTATTGCATTCCATGGGCCTTGACCTTAATTAAAGAAGCTGACTTACTGGAGAAGTTGAGAATCTTCACACAATAAATTGTGTGAATATTTACTTTAATTAACCAGTAATGTGCAGATGAAATAATTAAACAGTAATATGTTTTTAATATGATTGAGTAATAGAAGTGAATATTCACACAATGTATTAAGTGAAGAATCTCAACTCCATAAGTAAATCAGCCTCCCTTTTCTCTTGCTTGCAACATTTACATCATCATCATGTTGTGTTTAGTAACAAGAAGTTGCTGTAGAGTTCCAGTCCACTTTTGTGTCAGGCCCCAGATTAGCTTATATACATCTTTGTATAGTTACAATTTTGCAATGAACATTAGCATGATGTTATGTCAAACACCAATATTCATCCAATAGAGAATATGCCGCTGAGTCTTAAGCCTTCATAAAGCAGTAGAGAATGTTTGCTAATGAAAGTGAATGTTCAATTAGCTTAGTTAAATAAAGCTGAACTCCAGGTATAAAAGTATTATGCATACTTACTTTGGTCTAGCTTGGCTCAGTGTCAAGCTGGCCATACACCTTGCGAACATCGGACAAAACTTTTCGTCCGATGATCGAACCGTCGTACGATTTCCGTATGACGGCCCCATCCTGCCTCGATTATCGCAAGGTTGAATCAGCAGTAATTAAAAGAAAGCACCTGGACGAATTGCGGTAATCGACCACGCGCATTTTTGGATTAGATGTAATTTTCGTTTTCTTCTTTGTCCATGGCCTCTTTATCTTTATTTTATTTTCATATGGCTTCTCAATATTGGGCTTAAGCATTGGCTTCTAGGAGCTGATCATTTTTACTTATATTATAATATATTGGCCATTTGGAAATTTTGTAGCTGGTCATTTTAGTAGTTGAATATTAGACTCTCGCTAATGTTAGGGTCCTGGGAAATGTTGTTCTGGTCATAGTTATATCTTCACCTTATCCTGTTGGTCTAGGAGATCTGTAATACAAGGATTTTCATCTTATCGCTCCCACTCCTACCATCCTGGGGGTTTGTCCTTTACTGACACTCCTTGGGCTCTGGGTCCTGTCTTTGTTGGTCCAGCTGGATACACACAAATTGCTTTCTTGTTCGGTAGGTGTTATCATTGCCAATATAGTAACATTAATATCAAATTTGGGTGGATATTATCCCTTCTGGGTATATCCATTGATTTTGTGGTCATTTAGATCTCCCTCCATCTTCCGAGGAAGCTCTTGGAGCACGAAGCACTTTGAGAATACCAACTACCCCTTTACCATATTTAGAAGAGGCTGTTTTATGCGTATGATTCAAAGAACATTGTCTATGAATTCAATTATGTAAATTATGTATTCTGTGATTCATTGTGCCTCAATCATGTTAACCTGGAGTAGTTTTTTTGGAGGTATTATGTACTATGATGATGAAAGCATGCACGTATCAATTTTACTTATATGGTTTTTAATTCTTTGTATGTAATACAGATTATTTGTTATGAAGGACGTTGTTATCTGTTGGGTACCAGATTAATACAGATTATTTGTTATGAAGGACGTTGTTATCTCTTGGGTACCAGATAAATACAGATTATTTGTTATGAAGGACGTTATTATCTCTTGGGTAACTAAGGATACCAGATGTTTTCTTATTCGATGGAGGGCAGCGACATCATGATCTGTCTCTCTGAAATTAATTATAAAGGCTGAATTTTTTGTAACATTTAACAGCACTGATAAGGTTCTAAATAAACAGAGTGAGTTTAAAAGTGTTCTATCCTACACCTGATTTCCTTTTACAGAGGATGAGTAATCAGTGCAAAACATAATAATTGAATTGATGAATTGTTATGATTTGCAATAATAACTCATTAAATCAACCCCATTGTCCCAAGTGCTCCAACTTTCTTTTGATACTGAGAAGGATAAATAAATCACTAATGCTGGGGTACAAAGACTGGCCATTACTATGATAATTAGGGGTCAACAAGCTGAGCAAAAAACAATTACTGGACAACTCATATATAAAAATAATTTGATGGCTTTGCTTTAAATGGTAATTTTTATCTCATATAAAAAAGTTGTTTAAAAGTAAATAAATGGGAACACATTTAAAAGGAACACATTTAAGAGGTGCTGGTATTTCCATGCTCACTCAGATTGTCTAGATGAAGGAAAATACGCTTATTTGCGCTCACAAGGCAGCTCCCAAACAAAACAGCATTCCATAGTTGGGTAAACAAAAGTGACTCAATATTCAGAAATAAAAGGCACCAAACCAAAAGGTGAAGTCCAAAAGTGCTTTTAATTGTTCACAATATAAGCAAACAAAAAACAACACATTTTGGCAACAACACTCCCTCTTCATCAGGGCTTAGAAAGAGATAAGGATTTGATTGGATTCAAAAGATACTATAACCAAATGGTTCTCTATATGATTTGATATAAAGATCTCCTTTAGGGCTGGAATTGCAATTGGCAGTAGTAGAAACTTAAAAAAAAAAATAGGTATACAAGGTATACACCTTGCCACCTGGTACCTGAATATTAGACACCACCTAGCCCAACTATTATTGGACACTTTGAATCTCATATTGCGGTCATCCAAGTGTAAAGAGACCAGGGGGCTGGAGTGAGCCAACTTCCCCCAGGCGGCCATAATGGATCCTGGGGAGGACTCTGGGGGTCCCCCTTCTCGAGGGAGGAGGCCTAGTGCTCTCCCTATTGTGTTTGATCTCAGCAATGGGCCCATGGAGGGTGAAAGTGTGGCTAATTACAGGAAAAAAGTTGCCAATTGCATCATAAAAATTGTGAAGGAGGAAGAGAGGCTGGCGGCATTACGATTAATGCGTTGTAGAGAGCGCTGCCACAATATGGTACACAGTGGAATAGGGGATGCCCTATGCGTGTGTTTATTCCCATGCAGATGACGGGGGGAAGCAGGGTTAGTTTAAATTTTTTTTAATTTTAATTTAATTTTTTTTAACTTTTTTAATTGTTTTTCACTTAACTTTATTGCTATCACACAGGGGATAACAAGTCCCTATATGATACTGTTTTGAGGTGAAAGGTTCTCTTTATGGAGACTATGGGGTCTATTCATGAAGCAGCCGAAGCATCTAGCCATAGCTTCGGCCGATCCTTCAGCTAGCTTCGGCCCCAGGACCCCTTCGGTTCAGTGGAACCGAAGGGCTGCTGTACGGGCTATTCAGTATAGTCCGTACAGCTCCCGAAGTCGGCCGGGCGGCTCAGTTGAGCCGAAGGCATATGCTTCGGCTCGACTGAGCCAAGGTGAAAGCCGAAGCTGGCCCAGCTACCGGCCATTGGCCGGCCGACAGCCTGCTTCTGACAGCTGGGTGGAGCCAGCCGTGATCTTACGGCTGGCTCTGGCCACTTGCAGAGAGGTCAGCGTCCATGGTTACCAGCTAACAAGGGACACTGATCTCCAGACAGCCTAACTCTCCCGGGCGCTCCGGGAGTCTCCCGCTCCCAGCCGCCCATGAGAGAAACACGGCTTTTTTTTTTATTCTGACACGGAGCCGTTGGCTGGTGTCAGAATAAAAAATATTTTCACCATAGGAATGCATTGCTAGATTCCTATTGGCTATTTCAATTTGCAATAGCCAATAGCAAACTAGCTATTGCACCCGCCCACTGCTGCAGTTCTCCATCAGGTCCCCACTAGTGATTGACAGCAGCAGAGGCGAAATGGTGAAACATTTTTTTTCTTTTTTTTTGACCGCAGCAGAACCGCCGGCCAATTGAAAACAGTTGAGCGGAGGTAGCTGTCACTGCTAGCTCCACACAATCGTTTTCTATTTTTTTTTCTACTTTTAAAACTATTTTTCTGTTCTGCTCGGTTCCACAGAGGGACCGAGTAGAACAGCCGAGCCAAATGCCGCTCACCGGCATTCGGCTATTTGCTCACTACTGTTCGGCATCTATAAGAATAGACCGAACAGCAGCGAGTAGCCTGCTGGAGGTTCGGCTTAGCTGCCTACGGCAGCTTGGTGAATAGACTGCGTAAGAAGCAAGCTGGGTTTGAGACGGCCTGGAGTTCCAGAAAGATTCAGATGAAGCCTGAGATTAAGGCACTGGAAGCAGAGGTAAAGTGGCAGGCTGACTATGTTGTGCTCCTGTGTTCGCTCACCTCCCGATCTACTGAGCCGACCTGTGACAGTTTCATTGTCACAAGTCGGCTAGAACTATGAGGTGAGTGAAAAGCACTCACCTCATAGTTCTCCTTTAATCAAATATGGTACCAAAAAGGGCTCTTTAATCTAAGAAATACTGACTGTGTAGACTGTGGTATGTATTCTGTGTTTAACACCTGTGTCAGAAAGCGATTGGAGAAAAAGGTCTCTTTCATGTTTTCTTTGAGAAACAACATGTATTTCACTGTTGCACACTATTAACTTTCTCTGTCTATATCACCTGTCAATTATCTTTTATTTGATGCAGTGAGATGCATTTTCCTAAAAGCTTAGATGTATTTCCTGCCCGAGGGTTACATTAAATTCAGTTGTGGTCTGTTTTATTTGCTTTTTAAGCTCTTCGC